AGCTAATTATCTAACAGGAGATCATACTTATCCAGTTTGTGTCTAATTTAACCTGTATTCTGAAGAATATTCTATGTTACGGAATATATAATTTAGACATTGAAAATATATGTTTTGCCAAAGAAATTTGTATGTAAATGTCAGATAATACTATTGAAAGGAAAAATTTCCATTACAGTGTACATATATGTTTGCATCACCAATTAATGTTATGATAATGTGAGATGGAATCTTCTGTGCCTGACTTTGGGAAGGGCAGGTACAGGAACATTATTGGTCAAAAATTCAGTTTTCCAAGGCAGGAAAATCCTTCACTACTACATTCTCAGAAACCTTCGGATAGATCAGTTTTCCCGACACTATGGAACAGTGGGGTGTCAGTGTGCAATAACTTGGGGGCAATTGACCATGATTCTATTCATTTTAAGATAGTTATGGAAAAGGATAGAACTGAGCCAAAAGTTAAAGTTCTAAGTTGGAGTAAGGCCAATTTTGACGGCATTAGACAGGAACATTCAAAAGTCAATGGGGGGGAGGCTGTTTGCAGATAAAGGGAGAGTTGGGCATTAGGGGGCTTTTAAAAACAAAATAACAAGAGCTTAGAGACAAGAGCTTAGAAACTGTAGGTCTTCTTCATATGCTACTGTACAGAACTGAACTGCTTTGGTGATTATATATTTATAAATATTTTTATGAATAAAGTATATATTTGACATTAAAAAAAAGTATGTTCCTGTTAGTGTGAAGGGCAAGGCTGGTGCTCCTTGTGCTGCTAGCTGACGACAGATCCCTCATCTCAGATCCGGAGAGCATCAGGCCCAATGCCCCTCTGAGTTTAGAGGAGCTGACCCACGCCCTCAATCGGCTCTCTATGGCCAAGTCCCCAGGCTCGATGGGCCAACCATGGAGTTCCTCAGGGCATTCTGGGATGTCCTGGAGGGGGCAACTACGCATGGATCCTAGGTAAGGTATTGCCACCGGAGATGCCCTTTCTTGGCACAGGGCAGTCTGTCGCCTAAGAAGGGGAATCTAGACCACATGATCTACCCAGACCAGTCCTGCACCATCCCAGGCTGCAGCATCCATCGCATCATCCACATGGTCCAGGACATGATCCATTATTCCCAGAGGGCTGGCCTGTTGAGCGCAAATGTCTCCCTTGACCAGGAGAAAGATGTGGCTTACGAGTATCTGCTCGGGACACTGTGCGCTTTTGGGTTCGGGACGTGCTTTGTTGCCCGGATTCAACTTCTGTATGACGCCATGGAGTGTCTCATGAAGGACCCTGATGGCGCCCCCACATTTTGGGAGAGGAGTGAATCACAGCTGCCCCTGTTCGGCCAGTGTTATTCTCATATGCATGGAGCTGGCTGGCCTGCAGATGATGGGTGAGTGCTAGGAGGTCTAGCAAGGATCAACTGGAGCAAGTGTTCAGGACTTCTAGTCAGTCCATGGCAGGTGGACATCCTGCTGGAGGAGCTGACATGGAGTACCACTCACCTCCTTTACCTGGGAGTCCATCTTCACTGGCAAATTGGCACAAGTTGGAAACCAAGGTGACCACTCACCGAGCATGCTGGACAGGGCAGCTCCGGGTGTTATCTTGCAGGGCGCAAGTGCGGGTCATAAACCACCTGATGTCTGCCATGTTGTGGTACCGGTTGGTCACTTTGGTCCCTTCCTAAGGCTTTGTCATCACCATCCAGAGAAAGGCTCATCGAGTTTTTTTGCGACAAAAGGCAGCACGGGGTCACTGCTGTGGTTCTGACTCCCATGCTTGAGGAGGGTGGTCAGGCTCTGGTGTGCCTTTGGACCCAGGCAGCAACTTTCCACAGTTCAGACCCTGTAGTGAAGCCTTTACGTCGAGCTTGCTTCAAAGCAGTGCGTGTTTCTCCCATCAGGTACGCGACTTGCATTATGATACACAGTTCCTGTTCATGGAGTGGCCCCGGCCTTGGGTATCATCCAGGAATTCACTGTCTTTTACCTGGACATGACCACAGTCTGGGACACGGTCGGCTTGTGCCAGAGCTCTCCTGCTATGGGAGTGGCAGCTCTCATCGGGGTGGGGGGCACTACTCAGGAACATGTTCCTCCCTGAGTGCTGTTTGCACTGGCTGAGGGAGGACACAGGGCTGACCAGAGTGAGGGACACACTGGGTGGCAGAGGAGTGAGCTGGATAACACCAGCACAGTTGGCTGTGAGGACCCGAGCCATCCAGAACCTGACAGTCAAGGCCCTCAGCCCCGACACCTCATGTACAATCAAGGCTGCTCAGGTGTGCAGTGGGCTCCAGGAATGAACTGACCCCTGTCTATCCGGAACTTGACATCAGTCCGACACCACAGACCCCTCCCATGATGCAAAACCCACAATCTGAGCTGTCTCAGGGATACCACACAGCTCCCCCCCACCCTCCCCCCGCCACCACCCCCATCCCTTGGTGCCCTTTCAGGCGGCATGGAGGCATTATTTGTTCAGGCTGCTGCTGCATGCTTTCACCTACCTGGGTGTGACGGTTTGCCCCCTGGCAGCGGAGATATCCAGTGGAGGGCCCTCTATAAAGGGTCCTCCCTTCTTACATCTGGAATCTGGGGTGGAGCGTGCTGCATGGGACGGTCCTGACGACTGAGCAAGTTCACCCCCAGGTGCCAGACCATGTGCAAATTCTGTGGCCTGGAGGAAACATTTTTTCACGTTTTTGTTGAATGCATCTGTTTGCAGCTCCTTTTTAGTTTATTGAAGGAGCTGTTGCTTAAATTTTGGTTGCACCTCAGCCCCACGTTCCTGATCTACGGCCACCAGGTAGTGGGGGAGGGGGCTGACAGGTCTGCAGGCCTTCTCGTGGCTTTGCTCCTGGGCCTGGCCAAGATGGCCATTAACAGGTCCAGGCAGCAGGCTGTGGAGGGGCTGGTCAGTTCTGACAGTCTGCCCCTGTTTTGCAGTTACATCTACACTCAGGTGTCTCTGGAGTAGGAGCATGCATTGCTCACTGGTAAAGTGGAGGTCTTTTGTGACTGACGGGTGCCAGGGAGGCTGGAGTATACTATCAGCCTGGCTGACGAAATACTGATTTAGTCGTGTAAATTTCTGTTCCACTTTTTAAGTTGTTGTTTGTTTTCGGTTTAGTGCCCAGAAAAGGGCTGTTTTACTTTTCTTGTGGAAGAGACAAAAATGGCTTTTATTTAAATCCCACACTGTCCCTGTCCCAGGTGTGTGCTTGATGGGGTCAGTGTGAGGTGAGGTTTATTTTTCGTTAAAAAAAGTAGAGAAACTTTCCTCTGGATTTTGAAACCCTTGTTGGGGCAGGAAGGATTTGTTCTTTTTTCGCATATCCTTTGGTTTTGAATAAGTCAGGGAAAGTTTATTTTACAATTCAACCTCTTGTTTCCCTACCCCCAAGAATGGTTGGTAAGCTGGAGTTAAGGGAGGCCATTTTTTGTTTATTTGTTGTTTTTCCTTTGTCCAGAATCGAGGGTACTTTCTTTTTGTTTTTAGAGTCAAAGAAACTTTCCCTTCTGCTTCGATAGGGCAGAGGAGACTTTACTCTGTACTTTAGTGGTGCTGTCCCCACACCAGGAGTGTCTAATGTTGGTGGTGTTGTAATGGGGGGGGGGAGGGCGCGGTCTTCCCTTTTTTGTTTCTAACCCTTGTTTAAAAGAGTAGAGGGTTGCTTATCGGACTGAAGGCCTGTGACCAGCGGTGTACCACAAGGATCAGTGCTGGTTCCACTGCTTTTCATTATTTATATAAATGATTTGCACATGAATATAGGTAGTATGGTTAGTAAGTTTATAGATGACACCAAAATAGGTGATATAGTGGACAGGGAAGAAGATTATCTCAGAGCACAACAGGACCTTGATCAGGTGGGCTAAACAGTGGCAGATGGAGTTTAATTTAGATAAATGTGAGGTATCGCATTTTGGTAACACAGTCCAAGGCAGGACTTACACAGTTGATGATAGGGCTCTGGGGTGTGTTGCCAAACAAAGAGACCTAGGGGTGCAGTTTCTTGAAAGCAGAGTTGCAGGTAGACAGGGTGGTGAAGAAAGCGTTTGGCACACTTGCCTTTATTAGTGAGAATATTGAGTATAGAAGTTGGGACATCATGTTGCAGCTGTACAAGATATTGGTGAGGGCACTGTTAGAATACTGTGTACAATTATGGTCACCCTTCTATACGAACGATGTTGTTAAACTTGAGAGAGTGCAAGAAGATCTACAAGGATGTTGATGGGACTGGGGGGTTTGAGTTATAAAGAGAGGCTGAATAGGCTGGGGCTTTTTTCCCTGGAGTGTCAGAAGCTGAGGGGTGACCTTCTAGAGGTTTATAAAATCATGAACGGCATGGATAGGATGAATAGCCAATATCTTTCTTCTAGAGTGAGGGAATCCAAAACTAGTGGGCATTGGTTTAAGGTGAGAGAGGAAAGATTTAAAAGCGACTCAAGGGCAACTTTTTCACACAGAGAGTGATGCTTGTATGGAACGAGCTGCCACCGGAAGTGGTGGAGGCTGGTACAATTACAACATTTAATAGGCATCCAGATGGGTATACAAATAGCAAGGGTTTATTGGGATTTGGGTCAAATGTTGGCAAATGAGGCTAGGTCAGATTGGATATCTGGTCCTTGCATACAAGTTAGTCCTGTCTGTTTCCGCGCTGTATGACTCTAATATCCCTACTTGGAAATATGTCACTGTTCCTTCATCATTGCCAGATCAAGTTCCTGGAACTCTCTCCACCACGGCCTGCAGTGGACTGAGGGGAGGTGGCTCTCCAATGTCTTCTCACTGGCAAACAGAGTGGAAGTAAATGCCAGCCTTGCTAGCAATGTCTACAGTTCATTCCAAAACCATTGGCTAAGACTGTCAACCACAAAGAACATATATTGATGTGACATGGTCAGATTTCGTGCCCAGACTGTCATGTGATGATTCCTCTAGGAAAATCTTCAAGCAGAGTTGGCAACTAATACAAATCACAATGTAGTTGGGTTAGGAGAGGAATTTTTCATGTCATATACATATAATACATTTTACAATTCATAAATAACGAACACATTTATGACGTAAAAGTAAGTTCGAGTTGACAGCGTTGTTTGCCGACATCAGTTTGGGAAAGACACCCATTTCTGAAACGATGAAATAAATTTTAACTCGGTGTGGACCTGGGTAAAGGTGATCAAGGCTTGAGGCTGCACTGAGTGCGTCAGTGTCCGGGCGGAACCTTTGTCCTGAGCCGCTGTTTGTCCTGTGACCCGGTCCGTACGCTGAACGCTTCCGGGGGGTGGTGGAGATGGCGTTAGGCCGCGCTGTGCGGCTGTGGAGGTTTTTGCTGTAAGTAACCAGCGTGAGACTAAAACAATTAAATTTCAAACCTCTTTCAGCTCGAGTCCATCGGACTGAGCATTTTCTTATACCCAGGCTGAGAATGTGTCTGGTTTTAAAAGTTTCTCTCTGGGGATTGGCCAGTTTTGTTGAAGCAATTCTTGGATCAATTTTGATGCAGAGATTTTTTGCATCAGCCCTTTGTTTATGTTTCATTTGGAAAATAAGTGGATTGGTATCTTATAAAGTGGTTGTCAATGATTTGGGGTTCAGGATTAATCTGATTTGACGTTTTGCACATCACTTTCTATTGGACCATTATTGTTTCCTTGAACAACTTTCTCAGGTTGAAGGAGACACTTTGAGCTCCTGACTTTAAATTTTAAAGCAGTGATTCTCTGAACACATCTATGCGACGGAACTGCCCATTTCCTGTCTAATAATTCCTTATCCCTACTAGATCGTTCCAATGCACTTGTGAATCTTAAAGTTTCATAACACACAAACAGATCCTTCGGCCCATCGTGTCTATACCACTCATCAAGCGTCTATCCGCTTGAATTCCATTTTCCAGCACCGGCCCATAACCTTGTGTGCTTTTGTGTTTTTCATGTTTATCTAAATACTCTTTAAATGTTGTGAGACTTTCTATCTCTGCCACCCTTTTAGGTAGTGAGTTCCAAAAACCTCCCCCCGCCACATCTGAGTAACTTAATTTTCCTCAAATCCCCTCTACACCTTACCTTAAATCTGTGTGCCTAGTTATTAACTCCTGTACTCGGGGAAAGGTTTCTTCATATATGCCCTATCTATGTTCAATTTTGTACACCTTGATCAGGTCCTTTCTTTAGCCTTTTCTGCTCAAAGAAGAACAACCCCAGTTGATGTAGCCTATCTTTATAATGATGTGTGCAAGCCCATGTAACACCTGCTGGATCTTTTCTGTACCTCTGAAGTGTAAACCCATCCATCCTATAGTGCAGTGACCAGAACTGCATGCATGCTACAGCCTAATTAACATTTTACAAGTAACCTCCTTACTCATGTATTCAGTGACCCCACTAATAAAGACAAGTATCCCATGTGCTTTCTTAATTGTTTTATCTGCTGTGCTGGTGCCTTCAAGGATGTATGGACACCACATGAAGGTCCCTCTTATCCTTTGTACCATTCATGTGTATTCCCTTGTCTTGTTAGTTCTCCCAAAATGCATCATTTCACACTTTTCGAGACTATGTTGTCCTGTATTCTAAAGCTTACCTCTTCACTATTTACCACAGTATCAATTTTTGTGTCATCTGCAAACATAACTGACTATATTTCTGACATTCATTTTTAGAGCATTAATGTATACTATAGAACATTAATATACACTATAAACAGCAAGGGACCCAGCATCACACCCTGCTGTATGCCACTGGACATATGCTTCCATGCACAAAAAAAACCTTTGACTGTCACCTTCTGCTTCCGACCACTAAATCAATTTTGGATCTATGCCAAATTTCCATGGCTACGTTTTACCTACTTAACCAGTATTCCATTAAAGACCATGTCAAAATCCTTACTGAAGTCCATGTAGATTACTTCAACTACACTACCCTGATGTACACACCAGTCACCTACTAAATTCAATCAAATTTGTTAGAAATGATTTCCCTTCTGATAAAGCCAGGCTGACTATCTTCGGTTAATCCTAGCCTCTCTTAAGTGGAGAAAATTTCAGTTTGTCAGACTTTTTCCAATAGTTTCCCTCCTGCTGATGTTGGCCTGTAGTTGTTTGCTTTACTCTTATCAATCATCTTGAATAATGGTACCATATTAGTTACCCTTTGTTCCTGGCATTTATTCTGTGGCCAGAGAGGATTTGAAAATTGTCAGAGCCCCTGCAAGCTCCTCTTTTGCCTCCCATAACAGCCTGGGATATATCTTATCTGCGCCTGGAGATTTATCCACTTTTAAGCTGACTAAAACTCTTAAAACCACCTCCCTCTCAATATTAATGTATTCAACAATGTCACATTTCTATATCTGCATCGTCTTTCTTTGTGTAAATATAGATGCAAAGTACTCATTTAAAACCTCAACCAAGTCTTCCGGCTCTGCACACAGGTTGCCACAATGATCTTTAATGGCCCCTACGCTTTGCCTGGTATTTTCCTTCCCCTTATATATTGATAAGTCATCTTTTGAGTTTTGCTTTGTTTTACCAGTGTTTTTTCATGCACCTTCTTTGTCGTTATAATTTCTTTTTTAAAATAACTCCCTTATTTCCTATACATCCTGTTCTAGGACATCCACAATCCTCAATATCTGCTATAAGCTTCCATTTCTTTGCGTTTTCTTGTCTTACACATCCATGGATATCTAAGTTTCTCTGGACTTGTTGATCCCACGTTTCACCCTTATGGGAATATATTGTCTCTGCACTCTCAATATAAACCTTTTGAATTACACTCACTGCTCTGATGTAGATTTTCCTGCAAGTAACTGCTCCCAGTCCACTTTTCATCATGTCCTGCCTTGTATCAAAATCAACCTTCCCCAATTCAGAATCTTTACTTCTGGTCCATCTTTGTCCTTTTTCATAATTACCTTAAATCTTACTGAGTTACAGTCAGTGTTACCAAAATGCTCCTCCATTCACACTTCAACAACCAGCTGGGTTGAAAAGCTTTCCTGGGTACAGTTTAAGAATTCCACCCCATCTGAACCTTTCACACTTGTCTATCCCAGTTATGATTGGGGAAGTTGAAATCCCCTGTTATTGCACCAACATTTTTACATTTCTCTTGAGATTTGCATGCATATCCATCCTTCTATCTTGCCCTGACTGTCAGGGAGTGAGGATCCATAGTATATGATCCCAGTAATATGATTGCTCCCTTTTGCATTTTCAAGCTTCATGTTTAAAGAACAAGAACAAAGAACAAAGAAAATTACAGCACAGGAACAGGCCCTTCGGCCCTCCAAGCCTGCGCCGATCCAGATCCTCTATCTAAACCTGTTGCCTATTTTCCAAGGATCTGTATCCCTCTGCTCCCTGCCCATTCATGTATCTGTCTAGATACATCTTAAATGACGCTATCGTGCCCACCTCTACCATTTCCGCTGGCAACACGTTCCAGGCACCCACCACCCTCTGCGTAAAGAACTTTCCACGCATATCTCTCTTAAACTTTTCCCCTCTCACCTTGAAATCGTGACCCCTAGTAATTGAGTCCCCCACTCTGGGGGAAAAAGCTTCTTGCTATCCACCCTGTCTATACCTCTCATGATTTTGCAGACCTCAATCAGACTTCAACCTCCATCTTTCTAATGTAAATAATCCTAATCTACTCAACCTCTCTTCATAGCTGGCGCCCTCCATACCAGGCAACCTGGTGAACCTCCTCTGCACCCTCACCGAAGCATCCACATCCTTTTGGTAATGTGGCGACCAGAACTGTACGCAGTATTCCAAATGTGGTCGAACCAAAGTCCTAAACAACTGCAACATGACCTGCCAACTCTGGTACTCAGTACCCCTTCCGATGAATGAAAGCTTCCCTTTGCCTTCTTGACCAATCTATTGACCTGCGTTGCCACCTTCAGGGTATAATGGACCTGAACACCCAGATCTCTCTGTGCATCAATTTTCCCCAGGGCTTTTCCATTTACCGTATAGTTCGCTCTTGAATTGGATCTTCCAAAATGCATTACCTCGCATTTGCCTGGATTGAACTCCATCTGCCATTTCTCCGCCCAACTCTCCAATCTATCTATGTTCTGCTGCGTTCTCCGACAGTCCCCTTCATTATCTGCTACTCCATCAATCTTAGTGTCATTTGCAAACTTGCTAATGAGACCATCTATACCTTCCTCCAGATCATTTATGTATATCACAAACAACAGTGGTCCCAACACGGATCCCTGTGGAACACCACTGGTCACAGTTCTCCACTTTGAGAAACTCCCTTCCACTACAACTCTCTGTCTCCTGTTTACGGCCTGTTTGAGGAGCTTCCGAAAATATCATGCCTCCTTATTACAATTATTGATTCTTTGATCAGTATTAAGACACTGCCTCTTTTATGCCAAGTCATTTTAAGGCCCACTCTCCTGCACCAACCCTTCAGCCATGATTAATCTGATCTGTCTGCCTGTTCCTACAATCATGTTATTGAGAATAATCCAGAGATTGCAACCTTTGAAGTCCTGCTTTCCAATCTACTACATAGCTACCTAAATTCTTGTTGCAGAACATCATTCCTCTTTCTGCCTGTCATTTATACCTATGTGAACCACAACCTCTGACTGTTTGCCCTCCCTCAGAATCCCCTGCAACTGGTCAGTGATATCCTGGAGTGAGGTCTGCACCCCTAACTATTGAGAACCATACCAATATTGTTCCTTCTGTCTATCTGTTCCTCCCTTGTGCAGTGGGTTTTGTTGGCATTCCCTAGATGAGCTAACACTCTCATCATTTTCCAAAACAGAAAAACTGTTCTTGTGTGAGACACTCTCTCTGGGGCTTTCCTAAGTACCTGCCTGCTTCCCTTCTTCTGCTTGGTGGTCACCCAATCCTTCTGTGATTACACTTCCATAAGATACAGGGTGACAGCATTTAAAAATATCCACATAACTCTGAGTCTTTTTGCACTGCTATATCTCCAGCCAACACTTAAGCTCCAAAACCTGATGCTAAAGCTGGTCAAACCAGTCACTGGTTCCTGCAGATGTGGTTGTCCAGTCTGTTAGGGATGGCTGAGACTTCCTACGTATTGCGGGCTGAACAGAGACTGGGCTGCTTAAAGCGGAGAAAACTACTGACCCATTATGTACCAATTAGCTTCCTGCTTTGCACTGATGTCACTTTTGCCATCCTCTTTGAATTTTTGCGGGATCCTTCTTTGGGTTTAGCTGCTGATCCAACTGACCTCGACCATGATCCTCAAACTTTTACTGAATCGTTTCACTGCTGCTATTCCCCCCCAGGCCTAGTCTTTCTGTTACTGCTCCTGGCTGACACACACACATATATACACCGACATACATGCATGCATGTATGTCTAGTGTCCATAAAGCTGAGGTAGTACAAAACTTTGCTATATATTTGCTCACATCAAACCCCATCTATCTATTGTCCCAGTCCTCACTAGCATATACTGAAACCCAGCTAAGCAACATATTGATTTTAAAGTTCCCATTCCTGTTTTCAAGTGTCCGCGCCGTTCTTCACCTCACTACCTCTGTAAATCAAGGAAACCCACAGAGAACCGTGTTCTTTGAATTCAGGTCTCTTGACCATTTCTGATTTTAATTGTTTTGGTGGCTGTTCCATCAGCAATGTTTGCATGTCTTTGCTGACCTGATTTTTGAGCTGGACAGATTGCTGACTATCAGAAAAATGCCTGTGCTGACTAAGAAAAATAGATTAGAAGAAATAAAAGTATTACATGGCTGATTATCTACCATGGATTACATTTTCCACAGTAAGCCTTTGCTCAGTTGTTTGTCCTTCAGTCTCTGAAACAGAAGATTGTGGTTCAAATTCTACAGCTAACAGTTTTAATTGATGTTTCAATGCAATGCTGTTGGCATGCTATACTGTCAGAAATGTCAACTTTAAGACAAGAAAATAAATCAAGGTCATGTCTCAGGTGACGTAAATGACATCAATTTGAGGAAGACCAGCTCCGTCATCCATGATACTCTGACTAATATTTCACCCTAAACCAGCATTAAAACAACCCAATTGGTTATCTGTTGTACACATTCACCTGCCACATTACAACTCTTAGTGTGCACTTAGAACGTGTTTTACTTTGTTTGGGAGTTGGGACATCCTTTGGTTTTGAACGACACTGTACAAATGCAATTTTTTTTTTTACCTAAAAGGGCAAAATATAGCCAGAGGAAAAGATTACTTAATCTCCTAGTATCCTGTAGCACATTAACCGAACTGAAAGAAATCAAATATCTGAATTTTTAATAAAAAGCTTAACTTGCTATGGACGTTCTTGTGCACACTGAATTATATATTTAATTCTAGCTGCTTACATCATAACTGAAGTTCACACACAGGATTGATATGTGGTTGATTGTGCATGTGCTTTGTGTTTTAGTAATCATTGCTTTAAGTTTATTAGTAAATATTTTTATTTTCAATAGTTCTTTACAGCTAAAATCTTCTGAAAGATTGCTTCCTGCTATGTATCCTGTGCACAATGTGCCCAGGCGGAACAATTCTAATAGAACTTCGGTAGTTCGCTGTGGAAGACAGGTTTATGCCAGGCTCTATCCTGTTTTGCTGGTTCGACCTGATGGATCCACTATCAATATTCGATACAAGGAACCTAAAAGAATTCTTACAGTAAGGATGAAAGGTTTTTTTGGGGGTGGGAGGCAGAAGGAAGCAATTTTGTTGAAAAGATCTAAACTATTTTTTTGTTTAAGTGCTTTAATGCTTCCAAGATAAATGATGAGGCATATAAGAGCGGATTTGTAATTTTGTAACTGTCCTTTCCACATTTTAACTCAAAAACACCTCAAGCTTTTTTGAAATGAATATTATTATAGGAAAAAGTATTTAACTTTTTCTTCCATGTTCTTGGGTCTTCCATGTCAAAAATTATCTTGGCAAGACAAAAAACAAAGTAATAAATCTGAAATAAGAATAGAAAAGGTGGAATCTGTGGAGAGACAGATGCTGCTTGTCTTGCTTAATTTTCCAGCCCTTTTTTTATTTTTATTACCTCAGGTTAGAAACATAATCCCAAACTAAACTAGTCCAACCTGCCTGCTCCTGGCTCATATCCCTCCAAACCTTTCCTATTCATGTACTTACCTAAGTGTCTTTCCTGCGATGGAGTGTAGGGAGATTCCTTAATAGTCCCCGCTGTCCACTTTGTCTTCTATCTCAAAAGCTGTGATGATAGCAGCATTCCTGAGATCAACAGGAATGTCTTCTTTGCCCCAGATTTTGTAATGAAGACAGGTCCAATCCACAGCACTACAACCTCCATCATGGGGAGGGCATGGAAGCACTTCCTAAATCCACCCCCACTAGAATGGGCATTGAACCCTTGCTATTGGCACCAATCTGATCCACACCAGCTGTCCAGTCTACCGGTTCCAAAAGGAGTCAGAGTTGTGTCAGCATATGCTTTAACATGCATGTTGCAACCTGGAACTATGAATAGTGATGACAGACATTCCAATTTCTTTCCATCTTTATCTACAGTTAACTACCTACAATTAACTGTTTATCCAGTTAATCCCTACTGTTTTAAACAGAAAGAAACAAACTATGCTGTCCCCATCAAATACTCCCAGGGCAGGGGCAGCACAGGGTTAGATATGGAGTAAAGCTTAGTCTATTCTTTTAGACTGACATTGTCCCCATCAAACACTCCCAGAACAGATACAGCACAGGTTTGATACAGAGTGAATCCAGGTAGTCTCTAGGCTTTTAAGAAATATACATACCTGAATTAGTATCTCAATCCCTGATCACTTGATCACAGCACAGGTTATTCAACCCTTAGCAATTTATTCAATACAATGCTTGTTTCAGCAGGAATTAACATCTATCATCACAGCTATTACATTCAACAAAACAGTTAACTTGCTAACTTTGAGCAAATTGCATTTAAAGGTAAAGAAAGAAAATGTGCAAAGAACATGATGCTCATACTGCCTGTGATGCATACAGTACAGCAAAATTTTCTACCTCAAAACTGAGATGTTAAAGTTGGTGCAGAATATGATATTTTTATGGAAACCTGGATATTTGGGTGAAACTGAGAAATAAGAAAGGGATGGTCACCTTATTGGAATTGTACTACAGATGCCTCAATAGTCAGCGGGAAATTGAAAAGCAAATTTGTAAGATGATCTCGGGTGGTAATGGTAGGAGATTTTAACTTTCCAAACATAGACGGGGACTACCATAATGTTAAGAGATCGGATGCAGACGAATTTGTTAAGTGTGTACAAGAAAATTTTCTTGTTCAGTACATGGATGTACCTACTAGAGAAGGGGCAAAGCTTGACCTCTTGGGAAATAAGGCAGGGCAAGTGATTGAGGTGTCAGTGGGAGAGCACTTTGGGCCCATTGATCATAATTCTATTAGTTTCAAAATAGCTATGGAAAAGGGTAGACCTAATCTAAAAGTTAAATTGGGGGAAGGCCAATTTTGACGGTATTAGGCAAGAACTTTCAAAAGTTGATTGGAGGTGGATATTTGCAGGTAAAGGGATGGCTGCAAATTGGGAGACCTTCAAAAATGAGAGAATGAGAGTCCAGAGAATTTGTTCCTGTTAGGGTGAAGGCAAGGCTGGTAGGTGTAGGGAATGCCAGATGATTAGAGAAATTGAGGTTCTGGTCAGTAAAAAGAAAAAAGCATATATCAGGTATAGACAGTAAGGATTGAGTGAATCCTTAGAGCTGTATAAGGCTTAAGAGGGAAATCAGGAGGGCAAAAAAGGGATATGACATAGCTTTGGCAAATAGGGTTAAGGAGAATCCAAAGAGATTCTACAAATACATTAGGGATAAAAGAGTAACTATGGAGAGAATAAGGCCCTTTAAAGATCAGCAAGGTCACCTACGTTTGGAACTGCAGGAAATGGCTGAGATTCTAAATGAGTATTTTGCATCAGTGTTTACTGTGGAGAAGGATATGAAAGCTAGAGAACTTGAGGAAATAAACAGTGGTATTCTGAAAAGTGTCCATATTAAAGAGGAGATGCTGGACGTCTTAAAATGCATAAAGCTGGATGAATCCCCAGTACCAGAACTTTGTGGGAAGCTAGGGAAGTGATTGCTGGGTGCCTTGCTGAGATATTTATATCATCAATAGTCACGGGTGAGGCACTGGAAGTTTGAAGGTTGGCTAACATGGTCTCATTATTTAAGAAAGGTAGTAAGGAAACGCCAGGAAACTATAGACCAGTAAGCCTGCCATCAGTGGTGGGCACATTGTTGGAGGGCATCCTGAAGGACACGATTTGCATGTATTTGGAAAGGCAAGGACTGATTAGGGATAGTCAACATGGCTTTGTCAACATGGGGTTATAATTTTCCAGTTGCTAATGTTAATGAAGATGTCAGTATGACAACAAAGATCGAGCTTCCCCATTTTAGTTTGCTGTTATTGATCAGGAGAGGAATATGTATCCCAGTGTACAGTCAGGGAGATACTTCTGTCTGGAGTTTTTGTCTGTTGAGGACCTACTTCTAGTTCCAGATGTACCATTGTAGATGCTGTGATTGAGTTGAAGAACTTTTATTAAATCAAGTATAGGCTTCACCCGGACTAGACTTTTATTCCTTTATTTTCTGAAATGAGAAACAGCAACTACTTAATGAAGGTGAAGTCTGAAAAGGTCATTGTTTTATTGAGCTGATGTGTATTAGTTGTGCTTGACATCACAGACTCCATTCACTGAGTATTTCACAGCATGAACAAGAATAGACCATCCAACTCCTCTAAGCATTCTGTTGAATCATAATTCATCTATATCTTACTATCCTTACCAAATAAAAAGCTATACCAAGCTGAAGACTTTTATTCCCAATTTCCCTTTTGGATTTACTCTGGATATCAATAACCCAAGGCAGTTCTAACAACAAAATAAACCCAATGATCTTTATTAAAGTTCACAACAAAAATACTGCATCTTACCCATACACTGCTTACAGGCACAAGTAAACCTGTTTACATAGGTGATCAACCCAACCTGTTCCAACTTCCAGCTAATGATCAAAATTCTCACATTTCCTGAGCTAACTATTTGGGCTGTGAGCTAAGTCTTCTTTATATTCTTTCCAAGCAAAGAAGCCGCACATTCAAACTTTTACAGTGTCCAGTCTCCAGCAGATGATCAGAGATAGTAGGAACTGCAGATGCTGGAGAATCTGAGATAACAAGGTGTAGAGCTGGATGAACACAGCAGGCCGAGCAGGAGGGCTGACATTTCGGGCCTAGACCCTTCTTCGGAAAATGTCAGCCTTCCTGCTCCTCTGATGCTGCTTGGCCTGCTGTGTTCATCCAGCTCTACACCTTGTTATTCCAGCAGATGATCAACTTGACCACTGGCAAACATCAGAAACATGTCATTTTCCACATCAGTTTGATCACTAACTCCTTAGGGCTTGCTTGTGTCTCAGTGGAAAGGGGCTTATATCTAGTTTTTAACAACACCTCTGCTTTAGCTTGTTCACACTTTGTCATCCAATCAACTGTTTCAACTGTATATATTTACATGGCTCAATTCAATGCCAGTCACAAATTTAGCTCATAAATAGTCAATATTATCACATCTGATTCACTGTGTCTGTTTTTTAAACAAGACATCAGTTTTACCAGAGTTGATGTGACAGTCCATTACTGCTAAGTTATTATACTCAATCTAGGCACATATTCCTTCAGCAAAACAGAGAAAATCTTTAAAACCAATGACCTTTCTAATCATTAGGTTATCACCAGGCTTTATGTGTTTTTTCCTCCTTTCATTCCATTGCATTTAACTTAATTTCAACTAATCCAGCAAATTTTAGAGCCATAGCCACACAATTTTAGATTTGACACTTTTAATTGGCTTCACTTTAATAGCATTTTGAGGAAAAAGTTCGAGCTCTCTTCAGCATTTTGCTTGAAGATGCTATTGACTCCACCTTGAACGGCCTATGTTCTAATTTCAAGTTTGTTTCTTTGTTCTGGATTTCCCCACTAGAGGAAAGTTTTAATTTACTTTCATTAAATTATCTTAACTTATTTTGTAGTCTATCATCAAAGCTTGCTTCAAGGTAAAGGTGAAGTCAAATATAAATAATTGTTTCATTGAAAAAGAAGCTTCTTGATCTTCCTGCAGTAATCATTCATCATGATCATTTCAAAATTGTAAAAGTTTTTCATACTCTGTCTCTAAAACCAAAACATTGTTTGTTCATTTGTCGCATGTGGTGAGCCAGAGTGCCTGTTTTTCTGTTGTGACTTGTGTGCATTTCATTAATTTTACACAAAAATCACTATCAATGTTATTTGAAAACAATTTCTTGAATATAATTAAATGATTTGTTACAGATGCCAGTTGATGTTTCCCTTCTGCCAGAAGCTGAACGGAAAGCAAGAATGCGCAAACGTGATCCCAAGAGATCCAGAATGAAAGAGGAGCAATATGAAGATGAATTTAAAATTGACAATTATAGCCAATTCTGGAAGAAAAAGTAACCTTTAGGATTTTGAAATGCAGAACTGTCACCAGACTGCTTAATTGGCGGGTTGAAGCCACTGATACATTGACTAATGTACAATGCTATTGTGTAATCACTGATGTGTAGTGGTTTTATTTGTATGTTCTTATTCATTCGTGTTCTTGACATCAAGTTTGTTTCTATAGAAAAGCCACGGAATAAATCCTGTTTTTATTTCTAATATGATACAGCTTAAATGCTAGGAGAAAATATTTTCCTATTAACTAGACTTTCCCCACCATCACCCTACACAACTATTCTGTACTTCCAGTTCCTGACTGCACTTGTACGGATATATTTGGTAATATGGAGAAAATTTAGCCACGCTTGAGTTTTATGTTAGACATCTACTGTCTTATTCATGGAATATTTACTCTGGCAGATTATAAGTACTTGCATTCAATAATAATTATCCTATGAATAGGATAATATTTACAACAATTTGAAATTAACAAGTAGTCTGGGTTGTACTAAAAATAACTCCTTACATATTGAAATTGGATCTGTAAATTGAACATAAAACCTATGGATACAATGTTCCCTTGAGGACAAAGTACTTCTGAGCAGGAAAGCTGACGTTTAGGGTCGAGACCCTTCATTTTTCTGAAGGAGGGTCTCGACCCGAAACGTCAGCTTTCCTGCTCCTCTGTTGCTGCTTGGCCTGCTGTGTTCATCCAGCTGTACACTGTGTTATCTCAGATTCTCCAGCATCGGCAGTTCCTACTATCTCTACTTCTGAGCAGTTTTCCCTTTAATATTTTAGGTCATGCTGCATTTGAAATACAGACAAATGATTTTAAACTATAGGAGAAAGTGGATACTAATCCAGTTTAAATGACTAAAATTTGCATTAGATACTCACCCAAGAGATGCATTATGTATTAACAGTTTTCCGAAAGCTGTCATCATTCATTTTTCGGTAAGCATATCTCTATCAGATAAGGACCTAACTGCATATTTAACTCCAGTGGTTTGAGCACAAGAATTTTTAGTGAGGTTAACCTAGGGAATATGGCTTATGTCTAAAAAGGGCCAAAAGAATATTTTTCTCTCCTCTGGCCTAGGCAAAGAGTAAAGCTGATGCTTTGCCTGTTTCTTTCTATCATGAGAACTTAGAGGATGAAACAGCATCCACTTCCACTGCTTCAACTTTGGAAAGGAATGGAGTTTAGACATAGGGATGTAAAAAGCACCCAGTAATTAACTTTTCTAGAGGCCTTGTTTTTGCTGCAACAAGTGAATTTATGACCTACCTAAAACTGGCTTTGAGTTAAAGTCAAGGTTCTTATGTCAGGAATCAAGATCAGAATCGACTTGATTTGAACTATGAAACAATAGAGGCACCATTACACCCCTGGGTTTATGTTATTGTCCACCAATTAGTGAGGTTTAGTGGAATAAATTTGTCTGGAAGTTACAAATGTGCAATAAATGAGAGTAATTATAATGGGAGGCTTCATTCAATCTCTGACTGGGATTATAATAATGTAAAGGACAGAGCTGGGGAAGAGTTTCTGGAAGTGTATTCAAGAGAATTTCTGGATCAGTATATTTCTGATCTAATGGGGAAGGGAGCGTTGTTCAACTGAGCTCCAGGGAGTGAGGTCATGTGAATCAAGTGTGAGTGGAATCACAGTAGAAGTACATTTGTGAGACAGTGCTCAAAAGTATCCTGTTGCTATAGAAAAGGACAAGGCACAATCCAGAGTAAAAAAACAATGGAAGAAGATCATTTTCAATGAGGTGAGAAGAGACCTGGCCCAGGTGAATTGAATTCGAAGAGTGACAGATTAAACTAACAGGATAATGGACTCCCTTGAAGTAGGAGCTAGTTTAACGGTCAAGGCACATCTTGACAAGGGGGAGCAGGCAGCAAATAAAATGAGAACTTCCCAGATAACAAATGAGATGGATAGTAAAATGAAACAGAAAAAAATGTATACGATAGATGCCAGGTTGATAATACAAGTGAGATCCAGGCTGAATATGGAAAATGAAATTAAAAAAACAAACAGGATAAGAGGAACTGGCAATGTAACATAAAAGGGATTTCCCAATGTCCTCAAATTCCATATAAATAATAAAAGGCATTAAATGGAGACTGCTGGATTAGGGAATCACGAAAGGTGCTGAACACTGCAATCATCAGTGAAATCCCTATTTCTGACCTTTTTATTCGGAGGGAAGGCCATTGATGGAGCTGCTGAAGATGGTTCGGCCTAGGGCACTGCCTGATGAGTTCTTGTAGAGATGTCTTGGAGCTGAGATGACTGACCTCCAGCAACCAAAGACATCTTCCTTTGTGCTGATATGACTCCAAACAGCAGAGAGTTTTCTCCTTGATTCTCATTGACTGCAATTTTACTTGGGCACTGTGATGCCACACTCAGTCTTGTGCAACCTTAATGTTGAGGGCTGTCACTATCACCTCACCTCTGGAATTCAGCTGTTTTGTCCATATTTGAATTAAGGAAGTAATGAGGTCAGAAGCTGAGTGGCCCTGGTGGAACCCAAACTGAGAGCCTGTGTACAAGTTATTGCTAAGCAAATGCTGCTTGGAGGCACTGTTGGTAACATCTATCATCACTTTACTGCCAACTGATGGCAGACTCAACCATCTTCAGCTGCTTCATCAGTGACCTTTTCTCCGTCATAATGTCAGTAGTGGGGATGTTTGCCAATAATTGTACAATGTTCAGCACCATTCACAACTCCTCAGATACTGAAGCAGCTGTGTCCAAATGAAGCAGTATCCAGGCTGACAGATGGTGAGTAACATCCATGCTACACAAATAGTAGGCAATTACCATCACCATTCCGCATTCAATGGTATAACCGTCACTGAATCCCCATTATCAACATCTCAGGGTGTTACCATTGACCAGAAACTGAATCTGATTTGTCATACAAGTAAATATAAATACTTCAGTTTCAAGAGCAGGTGAGAGGTTCGGAATCCTCCAATGGAGTTACTCACCTCCCAACTCCCCAAAGCCTGTCCACCATCTCCGAGGCACAAGCCAGGAGTGTGATTGAATACTCTTGCCTGGATTTCCAGGGTAAAGGATCATATTCCAAAACATTTATTCCTTTGATCAATGGCACCTAGCAGAAATTTACCAAGGCTTCTTAGACAGCCACTTTCCAACCCTTGCTTGCTATCATCTCACAGGTCAAGGGCAATAGATGAATGGGAACACCACAATCTGCAACTTCCTCTCCAAGCCATTCAGGGCAGGCCTGGAAATATTATTATTTTGGGTCAAAATCCTGGAACTCCCTTCCTAATGGCATTAACAATCTACTTACATCAAATAGATTGCAGCAGGTTAAGAACGCAAATCACCACCACCTCAAAGGGATGGGCTGTTTCAACCACATTCATGAGTGAATAAGAAAAGACTGAGAAGGAGTAATTGGCTGGATTGGATTTGTCCTGTTTTTTTGTAGCCAAAAGATACCTGGTCAATTTTCCACATTGCTGGATAAATGCACTGTCCTGGAGCAGCTTAGGTAGGGGCGCAAACGTTCTGGAGCAAACGTCTTAAGCACTATTGGCAGAATGTTGCCAAAGCCCTTGCCCTTTGCAGTATATAGTGCCAAAATCATTTGCATCAAAGCAAATTGGCTGATGGCTGGCATCTATGATGTCTGGAGGAGGCTGAAATAAATCATCCACTCGACACTTCTGGCTGTAGTTTGTTGCACATGCCTCATCCTTAACTTTTCCACTGATAGGCTGGGCTCTCCCATTATTGAGGAGGGGAATATTTGTGGAGCCTCTTTCCCCAGTAAGTTGTTAATTATACACCACCATTCACAACTGGATGTGACAGGACAACTGACTTACATCTGATCCGTTGGTTGTGAATTGAAGAAAAAGTTGGGACTGTTCTCCTTAGAGTGAAAAAGACAGAGTGGTTTCCAAAATTGTGAGCAGGCTGGACAGTATAGATACAGAGAAACTGTTCTTCCTCAAAAAAAGAACAAGAACGTGAAGGTATGGATTTAAATTGATGTACAAAAGAAGCAAGGGTGATGTGAGGAAAAACATTTTCACGCAGCAAGTAATTAAGGTATGGGGTGCACTTTCAGAAATGTGGTGGAGGTATTCAAGAAGGCATTGGATGTTATTTGGATAGAAGTAGTGAACAAGGGAATGAAGAAAAAGCAAGAGATTGGCAACTGATTTTTTCTTAAATATTGTAGATTGAGGCCATTTGGCCCACATTGACCTTCCAAAGAACATCCCACCCTATCTCCGTTACCTCACATTTCCCATAGCTACCCCACCTAGCTTGCACATCCCTCAACACTATGGGGCAATCTACCTAATCTGCACATCTTTGGTCTGTGGGAGCAAACAGAGACCAAAGAGAGAACATGCAAACTCCACACAGAGAGCCACCCAAGACTGGAATCAAACCTGGATCCCTAGTGCTGCAATCACTTAGCCCTATTACTTCCTGTCTATGCTGTTTTTCACACCACCAGTCCTGTTTTGTAGCTTCGCCAGGTCGATATTTCATTCTTAAATGTGCCTCACGCTGTTTCTGACATGTCTTCTTGCACACTCCATTGAGCCAGAGTTGATCCCTGGTTTGATGGTGTTGGTAGAGTGGGGGATATGCTTGACTATAAAGTTGCAAATTATGAATTATGTTGGAGTACAATTTGGCTGTTGCTGATGTCCCACAATGCCTCATGGATGCCCAGTCTCGAGTCACCAGATCCGTTCAGAGTGTATCACATTTAGCAGGGTGATAGTGCCACACAACATGATGAGCTATTCTCAATCTGAAAACTGGACTTTGTCTCCACAAAGACCATGTGATGGTCACTTTTACGAATATTGTCACAGACAGATGTATCTGCAGCACAAAGATTGGTCAGGATGAGATGATTATTCTGTCTGTTCATTCCCTTACCATCTGCTGCTGACCCAATTTAATTTCTATTTCCTTTAGGACTGAACCAGCTTGGTCAGTGGTGGTGGTACTGCCGAGTCAACCAATGGTGATGGACATTGAAGACCCCACCCAGGATACATTCTGAACCCTTCCACCTTCCACATGATGTTCACTATGGAGGAGTACTGATAATTCATACGTTAATCAGCAAGAAGTTTCCATGTGCACATTTGGCCTGATGTCTTGAGACGACATGGAGTCAATGTTGAGG